GTGGGAGAGCTGACAGGAAGGGGCCGGGATCAGGAGAGAGGTCGGCGGTCTTTCAAGCTGAGCTCGATGTCAGGTTTCTTTACAAGTGAGAAAGGCAGCAGGAAAACTTCTGGCACCTCTGGGAGGGAGCCCTGCTGAGGTTCGTCCAAGGGTAGCTGTAAGTTTGGGGTGCAGCCGGGTTGGAAGACAAGATAGCAGGTGTGTGGGAGCAGGAGCATCCCTGAGCCTGCTGGTGCTTCTGGGGGAGCAAAACCAGCCGAAGGTGTGAAGGTGTGGGGTGTGATGTGAAGGGCCCAGCAACCACTCGTATCTACAGGTGTGATCTGGTGTGCTGAGCGTTCAGTTTGTCAGCCTAAATGCATGCAAGAGTTACCTTTTTTTTGAAAATAAGCATCCTTTTCAGTACGTCGAAAGAATGGATGGTGGGTGCTGTAGTAGCTGGTGTTAACCAGCCATATAAACTAACATATATGTATTTAATGTTTTTGTAGGTGTGTTGGTCTTAATTTTATGTGCTGAAAGCTGATCCTTCCTCCTCCAAGATGGCATTTGTTACAGCACAAGGGCCTACGGTGGTGGACCAAACCACTTTGATGAAAAAGTACCTTCAGTTTGTGGCTGCTCTTACAGATGTCAATACACGTAAGATACTTTGTTTCTATTGAAAGTTGCAGTCCTTCGGTAGTTTGTTTAACAAACCACTGCAATGCTGTTTAGACAGCTGATAAATGTTTTGATTTAACTTGAAACTTCATTTGAGTTTTGTTTTTTGAAGAAGCAAAGTGATGAGCAATACTTGCATGAGCCAAAGTGAGTGAGTTGTGTGTGTGTGTTGTGTGATGGTTGGTTGTGAGAAGTGTGTCCCTTATAACTGGGCCATGATAGCTAAACTGATAAGATCTGATTGCTTCTTTGATCAATAAGCCTGGTGTTTTCCTTTATCATGGAGTTTTTACATTTAATTTTTTCACTTGAATTTCCATTTTCAGCTGATGAAACCAAATTGAAAATGATGCAAGAAGTCAGTGAGAATTTTGAGGTAAAAAAAAACCCCAACCCAAACAACAAAACCCTCCAACCTTCTGAAATGGCAATCTTTCTTGTACTTGATGTATGTTGGTTTGATTTCTGATGTTATGTTGTTAAAACTTAAATATTAATATTGCATTACTTATGGTTTATATTGTTATACATAGTTGATTTTGGGTTTGTATTTAGAAAATAGTGAGATTACTAAAGAATGACAATATTTGGAATTTGAGAGCTCTTTAATTCCCTAATCTTTATTCCTTAGATATTTAAATAAAACTGAAGTCATAGGGTTTTTTTCCATGTTGTTAAGTTATATGAAATCTCTGTATTTAAAGCTTTTTTATATTTATTTCAAATGTGTGTTGTGCCCTCAGAAAGCAGAGGCCCCTTCAGTTCTTCTGTGTAGTGCCACAGGACAGAAGTGAGGGAGGAGTTGTGAGATACAGAATCTGACATCAGGACTGAAGGTGGCTCTAGTGACACTTTTTGCATAGTCATGAACCATCAAGTTTAGATGAGCAGCAGAAAAAATGGGAGACACAAGTTAAACCAATCCTGTGTTAGCAGAAAAGAAATTATACTATAGTTGATTACTTAGTTATGATGTGTCTGTTCTGAAATTATAGAGAACTTATTATGTTGTAGAATAAAATCAAGATCTTGGAATCACTGTAATTTTCTGTATCTGTTTTTTTAGTCATGTTGTGATTTGACATCACTATAACATACTTGTTTTTTACCTGCTTCATTTGAAGTGATTTTGCTATGTTTGTGGTACAGAAATATAAATACACATTCTAGTCCTTTTTAATATCTTTGGATATTTTAAAGTAAGCTTTATGCAGAGTTACATCCAGCAGGTGCTGCGTGTTGAAAGCTCTGCCAATTTTAGTTGTTTTGGTGTTAGCAGTGGAATTTCCCATCCAGTGCTGGTGGCTTTTTGTTGGGTTTGTTGTTTTTTTTTGGTCCAGTGTAATGGGACATAGTGGAATAACAGAGCAAAAGCTGTGCGTGCAAGTAAAGCAAAACAAGAAATTCATTCATTACTTCCCATGGGCAGGCAGGTGTTCAGCCATCTCCAGGAAAGCAGGGTTCCATCAAGTGTAACAGTTACTTGGGAAGACAAATGGCATCACTCTGGATGTCCTCCCCTTCCTTCTTCCCTTAGTTTTACATTGCTGAGCATCACATCATGCAGTATGGGTAGTTGGGTGTCAGCTGTCCCTGTTGTCCAGCAAGTCTGTTGGGATTGGAGGAAAGAGATTAACTTGTATTCACTTTTGTTTGTTCCACTAGTGGTGCTCTGTAGCATGTCAGCAGATGCAGTCACTGAGTCTTTTAAAAAGTCACTGAAAATATTTATTAGAAGCTTTGAATTTAGCTTTTTATTACTTGTATAATGTCTATTATATCTGACTCCTCCCTTTTTCTTTTTTTCCTTAATTAGAATGTGACATCATCCCCTCAATATTCTACTTTTCTGGAACACATCATCCCTAGGTTTCTGACATTTCTACAGGATGGAGAAGTTCAGTTTCTGCAGGAGAAACCAGCACAGGTAACCTGTGTGGAGCATCTCTTACCTTTTTGCACATGTGCAGTAGACTACTTGTTCTGTGAAGTACTTGATTAACTTAATTAACTGATTTATATGTAGACTTTGTTATTAACAATAGATCTGTTATTGGAATGTCATTGGGAAAAGTCCAGTTTCTAAACAAGTTGCTTGCAAACTTTGCAAATGTGGCCTTCTATGAAAAATAAAGAACTAGGTGCAATAGAATTTGTTTTGTTACTGAAAAATGACACATTATTACAAATTACTGACTGTACTGTGGAATGAAAGGGAAAAGTTGAGTTGATGTAATCACTTAAAACTGGGTTCCTTAAAAGAAGTCTAATAACTTGCATTTTGCAACAGTAAATTTGTTAAATTTGCCTTATTCACATCCATGGGTAGCAAGCATTAACGTGTTCATAGATAAGCATATGTGGACACAAAGTAAAATGGCTTTTTCTCTCTTTAAGCATGCAGAGGTATTTAGCTGAAGAGATGTTGCAACCAGTTGTGTTTTGTGGGCTTTTAAGAAGTTCTGTCATATACTTTTTTCCCCCTCTCTACTCTTGTTTTTACAGCAACTCAGAAAGTTAGTACTTGAAATCATTCACCGAATACCAACCAACGAGCATCTTCGTCTGCATACCAAAAATATCCTCTCAGTGATGTTTAGATTTCTAGAGGTACTTTTGTTCTTTTCCTTAGAACTGTTTCAAATTTTCAAAAAGATTTTCCTCTTCAACCTCAAAAAGTACTGGGGGTAGGAGTTTAAATAACTGCTTCTGGAACAGGGCTTCAGCAGTGTGTGATCTCTTACTTTCTACAGGTTTTCTGCATGTACTTTTCTGCCCTTTGGAAACTTGGATTTTACAAATGCAAGAAGCTGCTCTCATGCTAGACAACATTTCATTCATTAATACTTTTCTGTCTTATATAAACGCAGAGACCTTGTTCTAGGGACTTTGTTTTATTTCTTACTTGTAGTTGAATACGTTGTCAATTGAAACTCACAGCAAATAACCTGCTCTGTGTGGTGCTGTGTCT